CCGTCTGCTTTGAAGGTCGGCCAGAGCGAGGGGCGTCTTGTACGTGCTCTGGGAGGATCTTAAGAGGGAGAACGTTTGGCTCGAAACCAGCCTCAATAGCTCTACTATAGATACGATTGACCGTACGAGGATGAACACCAGTAAGTTCAGAGATCTGTGATGTAGACTTGCCAATAGAAGGTGACTTTAACGCCACAATTAAGGTGCGGGTGTAAGGATCAGTATTAGGAGACATTGTAACGATAGATACAGACAAATCGTACAGCTACTCAGCTCAAAGGTGGGAGTTGCGCCAAGAAGAGTTATGCCGAAGCGCCGAGATTAGCGTGGGACAAAACTTTTGTGAGGCACCTCCGTAGACTAGAGTAAACTAATTTAGCTTAAAAGATTGCGCTAAAACGCTAGCACTAGAGTAGTATATAACTTCTCTCCTTTACTACTAAATGCCTAAGCGCTAAGTAACTATACTAGCGCGCTACTAGCGCGCGTATTAGACTCTTACTTTTACTAGTAAATGTAGCGTATCTTATAATTTCCGCTACCTCTTTATAGCTATAAAGATTACCTAAAAAGGGCTCTACTAATATAGTATATAACTACTACTATATAATACGGAATAGCATTACGTACTCTTTCTTGGATTACTCTAATTTAGGATAGATTAACCCCCTTTATATATAGAGAGACTACATTAGTATAGCTAGAATAGTACTACCATAAGAGGGAGAATAATGTTAGAAACTACCTTCCTAACTATATAAGGTGGCTTTGTTAGGAGCCTTTTAGCTAGCTTAAAGTATATAATCCTATAGCCTATATAAAACAGAGGATAAGGATTTGTCTTAGAATATAATACTACCTACTACTACTATTAAGCCCTTATCCTACTATTCTATGTCTAAGTCACTAGTAGTACTAATAGCTAACTGTGCTAACAGACTATCTAAGAAATTATTAGTTAGTATCCTACTTCTTCTTTCTTCTCTATTTCCATTACTTCTCTTATTCTAGCTATTCTCAGCCTAGTTCTAATTTTTTTATCCTATTCTAATAATAGTTCTATTACTACTCCTACTATACTTAATTCTTCTTGATAGCCCGTGTTCTCCTTCTCTAGCTTCTAATCTATGTTTAAGAATGCTTAGATAAAGTTTACATTTCCTATCTATTCTCTTACTTTTATATAGGTAGGCTCTAAATTTAATTTCTTCTTCTATATATAAATCGCGTAAAATATTATTTATCCTTTCTAAAGATCTCATAGTAAGTTAGCCTATTATCAGTATATCAAATGCTTGCTTAAGTATCTATTAGAAATAGGTTTCCTAAAATAATAGGGTGTATATAGTTCTTTATAATAAAGACATTAGTTCAGACTCTGATACTACTAATAATAGAACCTTCTCCCTATATAATTGTTATAAAGTTCTTTATAAATCTATTAGTAGCTACTATTCTAGTAGATATTATACTTCTTAGTAGGGAAGTAATTAGAAGGCCTATATAGTCTATAGTATTTTTTTTTACAGTATTAAGTTTAGCTCCTATAATGAAGAGTAATAGAAAGCTCTAGTCTTTAACCTTAATAACCACCTTCAGGCAATCTCTTCTAAGATGTTCTATCTTTACTATCTTATTATAACTCTAAGAGATTGCTAGCTTAATTTTATTTTCCTCTTTAGTATTTTTATTCTTAATTTATGATTATATATTACTAATCTCTAGGTATAACTAGTTTTCAGCTTTAATGCTAAGGTCGTTAATAACAACTCTATCTTTAGATTCTAATAATACGTAGTCAGGAAGGGTGCTAAGCTTAGCTATATTAGCCTATTCCACTAGTCCTTGTACTTTACCTTATATATCTTATTAAACAAAATATCAAAGCTATTTAGCTACGTTAATCGCTAGTACCTTGAATTTTTCTAGTGTAAAACTAGTTTAGAAGAGCTTCTTTTATACTTCTAGTATCTTCCCTAGTACCTCTTATAGTTAGACAGTTACTAGCGTGCTTAATATTATCTAAATAAGTACCTAGGCGTTTAGTATAAAATTTTCTACTATCTAGTATTTTCTTATAAGCTACTCTATCTCTAAGTAATAGTTAGAAGCTATTTTAGTGTTATCTTTCTAGGGCTCTTTATTTATTATATTCTAGCCTTATAGTAGTAAGTCTAACTTAAATTAAACTTATTTATATCCTATTCTAACGCTAGCATAGTAATCCTTATTATAGTTCTTCTAACTTCTTATCTATCGTATACACTTTAAGTTTAGCTACTTCTAAATACTCTTTAGCCATAGGTCTTCTACCTTACTTAGGTTATAGAATATAGCTTTCTTTTTTATCATTAGCTTAGTAATAGTTACTATAACAGTAGCTACATTATATTAATAGTTCCCTACTATTCTTAGCATTAGGTCTAACTTGTCTTTAGATAAGAGGCTTAATAAGCTTTAATATTTCTCTCTCTCTTTTACTATAAGCCCTCTAGTACTATTAGACTCTAGCTAAATAGTTCTCAAGTAATTTTAGATAACCTCTACTAGCTAGGCATTTTTCATAAATTTAGATAGGGTAGATATTAGGTCTCTATTTCTAAGCTATCTTGGCTTAATATCTAATATAATAATAGATTCCTACTAAGCTTTTCTTATTAGGCCTGTAATCCTTCTTTATAGGATGCCTTTTACTCCTTATTCAAGCAATCCTTTATTATTAAAGTAGACTTAACCTATATTTATAAGCTTTTGAAGCGTAGGTTTATTCTATATAAGATGTTTATTTCTTCTATAGAAGTAGTAGCTATTGGTGTTCTATAATTACTAGATACTATTGTATTAGCCTTAGCTAGGTTACTTATCTCTATAGCCCCAGTTTTTAGTTTAGAAGAGATTGTTCTAAGTGTTAATTAGAGCAGCGTAGTAGGCTTAATAGAGTTACGCCTTGTTGTTAGCCTTCCGCCTGACTTCCTCACTAGCTATTTAATTATTTATTAGCTTACCCTCTTTATATACTTATAGGAAACTCTATACTTCTATTTCTAAGCTAGCTTTATTTATCTTAAGTTACATAATTTACTTAAGAAGGTAGTTAACTTCTAACTTAGTATTAATCCTAGAGGTGCTTTCTTCTAACTATTATCCTAAGTTACTTGCCTACTAGGTATATTAAGGTTGCTCTATAAGAAGGGGTTAGGTTGCTGTAAAGGGCTACGCCAGAGAGGCATGACCTACAGGTCACATGGCGGTGAATCACATAACTCTAGTCACGTGACTAAACTACATAGTTAGTTACGTATAAATAAGCTTAAGTAAGGAGGAAGACTAAAGGTCTAAGTTTTGTATAAGTAACAACTATAAAAGAAGGGCCCTCTAGATAGTTCTTTTCTTTATCTTTCTTCTTCTGTACAATAGGTGAAGACTTACTCGTTAGTTAGGCCTCTCTCGCCTATTATAGTTGCACTATTAGAACCTCTTTTCGCTTAGTCTAGGCTTTCTAAGTTTTGTTTAGCAGTTTAATAGTAAATTCCTCTTTCTACTCTAGTTCTTTAATAGCTTCTACTTAGTTAAAGAATCTAGCTTCTTACTCTATCTCTAGACGCTATTTTAGATAGTTATAAATCTTCTTATAGTTAAAATACGTTAGCTTCTCTAACCTTATATTAAACTCCTATATAACCTTTATAGTTTGTTTGAAAGGTAGTCCTCTAATAAGGTAGAAACTACGTCTATCTTCCTTCATAGTTTTAGCATTAACATATCTCTTACTTCTAATTCAAAATTCTTGTAACGGGCTGAACGCCCTTTAGATAGCTCCTCGATGGAATCTCGGTCAAGCAGCAGACGCTAGGTCTTACTCTGCAACCCGGCATCTGTGCGAGGCCTGAGCGGCGCCCAGACGACGCGCTCAGACACTCGGTGCAACCTTTCTCTGACAAGTAAATAAACACCACGCAAGTAGACTCTATAGCTCTCTATTAAATACAACCTCTTGTATACCTCGCAATTGCTCCCTAGAGCGCAGCCCCTTACATTTTGTATTTAATCCTAATTAGACATACGCCTTAGGCGGACTGTCTTCTAACTAAGTTTTAGAGCGTGTTGTTAGTGCGAGCTAGTAACACAGAGTTGGTGCTGCAATAGGTACGAAAGGCCTTTAGTGCAGCGAGAAGGTAGACTGTCGCAAGACAGTACACCTAGGGTAGAGCTTCGCAGGAAGTTCAGCCGTGAGAGACAGTAAGCGATTTAGTCGCCCGGGACCTGTCTAGGAAGTCCTACTGTGTCTTGGAAAGCCGAGCCGTAGGCGCAACGTCGCGTGATAAACTACCTGAAGGCCACTCAGGCCTAGCGTACAGTTAGCTAGAAGCAGACGTTGTAGTGAGAAGTCCTGTCGATCCTCTATCGGACGGGGTGCAGGCCGTGCGATTACTCTTAATTGGAGACGAGATCCCACGAGCGAGACGGCAAGACGCGAGTCTTCCTAGGGACGCGACACAACAGCAGCCAAACGCTGTTTAGAACCAGCTAGAAGAGAAGTACGGCCAAAGGTAAGCCCTACTAGTCCTCACTGACGAGGAGTAGGCCGCAGTCAAGGACTGCGCGAGTAGATCGAAGGACGATCGGAAGCCCTGCACACCGGCAGGCAAAGACAAGAGACGTCTGAAGACGAATTAGACAATAGAGGCCAACGCTCCTAACTTGAACGTTGAAGAGCTAGCGGCTTACGCCACCACTAAGAGCCAGGCAGGAGTCCCGGACGAAGAGATCCTGCGTGAGATCACGCAGATGCTGAGAGAGGACGGATGGAAGGAAGCAGCGATTGGGCCAACGATCGAAGCAGTCGTTAAGCGATCATCAGTCGTAGGGGGGAAGGGCTCACCAAGGCAGGAGGGCTCACCAAAAGCTAATCAGAACGCCGTGGCCCAAGTAATGGAGCAGATGATGCAGCTGCTCAGCCCAATGGCTAGTCGCCTAGAGGCACTTGAGAGAAACCAAGCCAAAGGACGTTCGGAGTCATCCCCAAGAGTCGACACTCCTCCACTACCGCTAACAACAGTCGCCAAGCCAGCAGCCCGCAAGAATAAGTTTCCCGACCTAGAGCGTTTTGATGGGACACGTGATAACTACCTAGGTTAG